TGGACTCTTGAAAATGAGCATGCTCACAACTTTTTTTATTTTGTTTATTTTTTCTTACATTTATAATCACTTTTTTTTTGCCAAGTGAACATATATAGTCTTATGTATATTTATTTACTTATTTTTCTGTTTTACAAATTTGTATTTGATTTAAATATGATCTTTCCAATTTGGTGCAATAGAATAAAAAATTAACCTTTAATTTGGTTCAAAGTGGTCTGTCATTTATTTCCATTATATGTTCTGAATTAAATCTGGAAAAAGATTAATCAAGAAACTATACGAACAGTTGAAATGGGTGGTGACCTCACCATTCAATCATCAGATGAAAATGAAAAAAATAGCAAAAATACTTGCTTCATAAATGTTTTGTGGCCATCAAAATGCTTCAGTGTTATCTATGGGTCAAATAGTTGAGTAAAAGAATTTGGCACATTTGGAGAGATTCGGAGACGCTGGTGACGCCAAAAGTTCAAAGTCCCACTGCTCTGGAACTGTTGTAGCTAGAGGTGTGAAATTTTCTGCATTTGTGGTGCAAATACAATGAAACATGCCTTTTCTCAAGCATGTCTCTGTTGCTTCTGTTCAAATATACCAAGTATTTTCAAGAAGAAAAAAACAAGTCTGACTCATGAACTGATGCAGTTTAGGCTGTGTTTTACTCACTTAATTTTAAACTAAAGGGTATTAGCTTTCTGATCACGGGAACTAGAGGCTAAACTTAGAGCAACAACGTATTTCAGCCTGATTAAGGCTGTTTTTTTGTTTTTTCTTTGAAGGTTTTAATGCCAGCCTCCTGGTCTCCCTCCCATCATTTCAGCCGCTTGTATCCGGGATCTCGTTCTTTCGGTCATGATCCACATTTCATGACCATAGGTGAGGGTAGGAACGTAGACCGACCGGTAAATTGAGAGCTTTGCCTTTTCGCTCAGCTCTCTCTTCACCACGACAGATCAGTGCAGTGTCCGCATTATTGCAGCAGCCGCACCGATCCGTATATCGATCTCCCGCTCCATTCTTCCCTTGCTCGTGAACAGGACCCCAAGATACTTGAACTCCTCCACTTGAGGCAGGGACTCTCCTCCAACCTGAAGGGGACAAGCCACCTTTTTCCGGTTGAGAACCATGGCCTCGGATTTGGAGGAGCTGATTCTCATCCCGGCCGCTTCACACTCGGCTGCGAAACGCCCCAGCGCACGCTGTAGGTCTTGGCAGGAGGGAGCCAGCAAAACTACGTCATCCGCAAAGAGCAGGGACGAGATCCGCTGTTCCCCAAACCAGACCCCCTCAGGTCCTTGGCTGCGCCTAGAAATCCTGTCCATAAAAGTTATGAACAGGACCGGTGACAGAGGGCAGCCCTGTCGGAGTCCAACATGCGCTGGGAACAGGTCCGACTTAATGCCGGCAATGCGAACCAGACTCCTGCTCCACCTGTACAGAGAACGGATGGCCCCCGACTCCATACTCCTGGAGCACCCCCCACAGGGCAGCACGAGGGACACGGTCGAATGCTTTTTCCAAGTCCAGAAAACACATGTGGACTGGTTGGGCAAACTCCCATGAACCCTCAAGCACCCTGCAGAGGGTGTAGAGCTGGTCCACCGTTCCACGGCCAGGACGAAAACCACACTGCTCCTCCTGCAGCCGAGGTTCGACAATCAACCGGACTCTCCTCTCCAGCACCCTGGCATAGACCTTTCCGGGGAGGCTGAGAAGTGTGATTCCCCGATAGTTGGAACACACCCTCCGGTCCCCCTTCTTAGGGAGGGGAACCACCACCCCAGTCTGCCAATCCAGGGGGACTGGCCCTGACCTCCACGCGATGTTGAAGAGACGTGTCAACCATGACAGCCCGACAACATCCAGAGCTCTAAGATACTCAGGACGGATCTCGTCCACCCCCGAAGCCTTGCCACAGTGGAGTTTTTTGACTACCTCAGCGACTTCGGCCTGGGTGATAAACGAATCCAGCCCCAAGCACCTCGTCTCTTCTTCCCCCATGGAAAGCGTGTCTGTCGGGTTGAGGAGATCCTCAAAGTATTCCTTCCACCGCCCGACAATATCCTCCTTCAAGGTCAGCAGCTCCCCACTCCCACTGAAAACAGTGTTAGCGAAGCACTGCTTTCCCCTCCGGAGGCGCCGGACTGTTTGCCAGAATCGCTTTGAGGCCAACCGATGCACAATATACATGTACTATCAACATGTTTGGGTGATTAAAATAAAATTGTCTTCAGTAATCCCTTTAAGTTGCTGCTAGAAAGCAGCAGTAGTAAACTCTGTAGAGAGATTGAACTTCTTTACTTTAATAGAAATGCAGACATTATTAATTGAACTGATTATTACTGTTAGATCAACAGGTTTAAAGAGCTGCAGGGTCACAGAATAAAGCAGAACAACCTAAACACAGAGAGATGGGGTAACAGAGGACATGACCAAAAATATAGTACATATCTGTAGAAGATCTACATTTTGGGCCATTCCAGATTACACTAGTCAGCCACATTAAATGTGATGTTTTTATCATCTTCTGTTTTTTGTGCATTATCTAATCTAACATCCATATTTTCTATGATTGAGCAATAACCCCTCACCCTTTGTTATGAATAACTGAACAGTGTGATCACATCGGTCTCTAGACCTAGAACCTGTAGAATAGCTGTAGGTGAGGAAAGCAGGATAGAGGATCAGGACTCTGGATGATTCATTATCATCAGAAATCCAACATTATGAACACAGACTGGCTGTAATGTTTGTCTGAGAACAGACTGAATGTTTCTGGAACAGAAACGCTCCACATTTCTCTGTTCTCAGAGGGTTTCTGCTGTTTGGGACTGAGGTCAGTCTGAGTCTTTCTGAACCTCATCTGATTCTATTCACAGCTTCCCTCAGAGACACAGACAGTCTGGATGGTCCTCATCAGTCTGAATGTCTGACATGGTCAGATGGATCTCTGTGGAGAAATGTTGCTCTTCTGATTCACATTCACTGAATCTAACAGGTTTCATGTTCATTGGATGTTCTACAGCTTAGAAATCTCCCCACATTTAAAGATGGCTGACAGGTAGGAACCATCCTGGTTAAACTGCTCTGCTGTAAAGTCAGTTTGGTTTCTGTGTAAATAAAACTAAACCAGCTGCCAGTAAAGGTTCATGTTACATGACAGCAGGACAGACTTTCTGCTTTAGATCAGATCCTGAAAAAGTCAGAAACAGTTCAAGAACAACCCACCACCTGCACACAAAGGAACCAATAACAGAAAAGTTCATTTTATTTCGTTTTAAGTGAATTAAATCATTTATTTTAAATATCGGGTCAGCTTTAATCCATCAGAACATCAGATGTTCTCGAATAACAGTAGTAGTTTGTTTCCTGTAGTAGTTGATCATTTATGTTCTCAATGTTGTCTTGTTAATAGTTGAACCAACAATGCCACCCAGTGGTTAAACTCAGACATTGCCTTTTATCCCTGTAATATTTTCCATCCCAGCTGACCGTCTCTGTGTGGTGGAGCAGCGGGCTGAGTCAGTGTCTGTCATTCAGGGATCAGGGTTTGAATACCGGCTGAATCACAAGGAGTGAAAACAGCTCTGTTTGAAAGTTGGAATCAGTTGCTATGGTTACCCATAAATAAGGATTCAGCCAACACTACCACTACCCCCCCTCACATAGCACCCCCCTGCTCTACTATAGATAAAACTGCCAACCTCCATAACCACCTTTAACTAGGCTTATTACCTTTATGCATTTGAACCAATTATTTATCTTTGAAAATCAGGATCTATAAATATATTATTAATCAAATCTGTATTTATTATGATTACAGCAACAATTAAAATAGACAGTTACTAAGAATATTCTACAGAAAATCCCATAAAAGCATCTACACCTCAGTGAGGTAGTCCACCATCTGACCTCTGACCTCCAGCTGCTGCCTTCTGAATGCTTCATCCAACAGACTCTGTTTACTTTTATATATTTATATGCGTCTTTTATGGGTCTGCTGTATTTTATTGTGTTAATCAGCCAAAATCCACCATTGCTCACTATCACCTTTTTCACTCTCTGGGTCTGTGGGTTTCATAGAGCTGATAGAAAATAACTGATGTGTTCCTGTTTGGTCTTTGCTACCTGATGCACCACTGATCTGTAGAGCAGCAAACAAAGAACAATAAACCACAGACTGAGAAATGCTGCAGTGGAAACTTCCAGAGAAGAACCACAGTGGCTGAAGCTGCTGAAAGGCTCTGACCTTATTAACACTTTAATAAAGTCTGATTTAATCTTTCAGGAGGTGTTTCATCTAAATATGTTCTACCAACTTTGTTACCTTTGTCACTTAGGCTATATTCACACTGCAGGTTTTAATGCTCAAATTTTTTTCGTATGCGTGAAATCAGTGTCTATGGATGGATTTCAGCAGCTGAATGATACAGCAGACAATGAGGAGTGTGGAGGAAAAAATGAGCACTGAGAGTTGATATCCAAGGAACTAAAGGTTTCATTTTACTCTGCAGAGGAGAGCGACACGAAACAGCTGAATTCAGCTCCCAAGTGTGACTCTGAGAGCTGTAGCATCCTACCCCTACATTTAAAGAAGATTCTACACACACACACATTAACATTTCCCAGGAGAAACACTTTAGTTCATCAAAGGACAGAGATTTGTTTCAGATAACAGGTTTCCATACACCCCAAGTCATGAGAATCTTGAACACAATGAGAACATGTTATCTATATTATCCCCTAGGGGGAAACTTCCTTTCATCTTAGAACAAAGCTTCTAAGTAATCACTCATATTCAGGAAAAGAGAAAAGGCACACTTTCTCACAAGGAAAACATATGACTCTACAGGAGAAAGAGAGCTAAATCATTAATTGCCCTCAACTCTCCACACACCTCCAACCACCGGCCCCCCAGAGACCTTTCCCCCCCACCGCCGCCACTCCCACCAACCCTGACCCATCCACACCTCCAGTCGTGCCTTCCTCCCCCCTCACAGTAACAGCAATGCAGGTGAGAGGGCAGCTGAGGAGGCTGAAACAGAGGAAGGCCTCAGGACCAGGCCTCCCCCCCAGGCTGCTGAGGACCTGTGCACATGAGCTCTGTCAGGTCCTCAGCTACATGTACAACCTGAGCCTCAGCCTGGGGGTGGTCCCCACCCTGTGGAAGACCTCATGTGTGGTTCCGGTTCCCAAAACGCCACACGCCATGGATCCGGCCCACTTCAGAGCAGTCACCCTGACATCCCACCTGATGAAGACCATGGAGTGCCTCGTCCTCGCCCACCTCCGCACCGTGGTGAGCCCCACCCTGGACCCGCAGCAGTTCGCCTACCGGCCCAACATCGCAGTAGCTGACGCCATCATCTACCTGCTGCAGCGGGCGCTCACCTGGAGACCACTGGGAGCGCTGTGAGAGTCATGTTCTTTGACTTCTCCAGTGCTTTCAACACCATCAGACCGGTACTGCTGAGGGGGAAGCTGGAGGATGCTGGGGTGGACAAGCACCTAGCTGACTGTACCACCAACTACCTTACTGACCGTCCTCAGTACATGCGGGTGCACGGCTGCCAGTCAGAGGTGGCCCTCTGCAGCACCGGGGCCCCCCAGGGCACCGTCCTGTCTCCTTTTCTTTTCACCCTCTACACCTCGGACTTCACCTACAACACGGACAGCTGCCACCTCCAGAAGTTCTCTGATGACTCGGCCATTGTGGGCTGTGTGTCTGAGGGGAACGAGCTGGAATACTGGTCGGTCATCATGGACTTTTGTGGACTGGTGTGAGAGAAACCATCTTTCTCTGAACACCAGTAAGACCAAGGAGATGGTGATCGACTTCAGGAGAAGACCCCCCCCCCCCCGTGGAAAATCCAGGGACAGGACATAGAAACTGTGGAGAGTTTCAAATACCTGGGTGTTCACGTTAATAATAAACTAGACTGGACTCACAACACTGACGCTCTGTATAAAAAGGGCCAGAGCCGTCTCCGCCTCCTGTGGAGGCTGAGGGCCTTTGGAGTCAGCAGGCCCCTCCTTAAAACCTTCTCTGACTCTGTGGAGGCCTCAGCCCTCCGCTACGCTGTCGCCTGCTGGGCCCCTGGCAGCTCAGAGCGGGACAGAAAGAGACTGAATAAGCTGGTGAGGAAGGCCACTTCTGTCCTGGGCTACCCTCTGGACTTGGTGGAGGAAGTGGCTGAGAGGAGGATGCTGTCCAAACTCACATCCATCATGGACACCACCTCTCACCCCCTGCACCAGACTGTAGAGGAGCTGAGCAGCTCCTTTAGTCAGAGACTTAGACACCCTGTCTGTAAGAAGGAGTGCTACCGCAGGTCATTCATTCCTGCTGCCACCAGACTCTATAATAATGCACTATAACCACAATAACTCCTGTAAAAACCACTGTGCAGCTATATTATAGTTTTTTATTTATTGACTGTGCAATATGCTGAATGTGCAATATTTCTCCACCTGTATATAAGCCACCCGGATTGTACATATTTTTATTTCTTATTTTTATCTTGTTTTTCATTGTGTGTGATACATGTACACATGCACCTTAATCCTATTTATCTTGATATACTGTATATACCTAGATATACTGTATATATATATAGCTTATTCTTAATGCACCTTTTTCCTCCCTGTTTGCACCTTCTGTAACTTCTATGCCAATATGTGACGAGTGAATTTCTCTGCTGTGAGATCAATAAAGCTCATCTAATCTAATCTAATCTAATCTAATGGCTTTCATTAAAGGAACACACTTTTGGTGTTTTAATACTGTCCAGTGGCTTATATAGTCACTCACAACAGATTGTAAGGTACATGATGTGTCATACTGATTTAGATCATAAAGCAAATGGTCAACAAGAACTATAGCTACCCCGCTCCCCTCTCTCCTCCAGAGTGCAGGTAAACACACCCATTTAAGCAATCAGCTGTCACCTCGGTGATACATACACATGCACACCTATCATTATGGCTCCTACATCCATAATCCAGTTACTACTTGTCAAAATAAAAATGTTATAAAAAATTCTAGACATCTAGAGATTGAAATCTTGACATCAAGAATATATTTCTACCTGTAGAAATATAATTATAGCCATCAACTACTGATATCTGACTTTTGAAATTGGAGTTTCCGATACAAACATATTTTGACTAACATTAAATTGAATAATGGGGCTCCGTTTTACCACAAAATTGACAAGCTGACTAGGCACATTTCTATTATAGACAGCATTAAAGCATTCTAGTCATAATTACATTTCAGATATCTACAAATCTGTTCTAATTAACTTTGGGTTTCGGTCAATTTTGACTCCCCCCAAGGACAAAAGCTATGTTGTTTAGCCTGAAGGAATCCAGCAGCTCCCATGAGGAGCACATAGGGCAGGATTTATCAAGATCCAATTTTGCGTGCAGTAATTTGCACTCGCAAACTGGAATTTTGAGCGAGGGGCTGAACCATGGTTTGCGGGTGATTTAACAAGAGTGATTGCGTAACTGGTGGCAGGTGCAAAACTGTTGGAGACGCCCTATTTAAATGATGGTTTTGCGCGTTTTGTGGTTTGCGGCAAAGTAGTTTGTAGTTTGTACAAACTAGTGCATTAAGAAATTTAAATCTTACAGTGACCCCCCGAAAAAAAAAAAAATATATATATATATATTTATATATATATATATAAAAAGAAAAAACTTTGGCAACCTTTGTCCCCTAAGGTGGTATGTGGCTGAATTTCTACTTCACTGCAGTAAAAAAAACAACAAAAAAAACAGGTGTTTTGTATTGGCCTGTAGAAAAATGCACATACCAAATGGCTCACAAGAAGTGACTGTGGATGAGATTACTGCGCGTGCGCATCCCCGCAGCATTGGCATGTTGCTCCACAGGCGCAGGGGGGAGGTCTGGGTTCTCCGGTAGGGCGTCAGGGCGACATGGTATTTAGAACGTCGGACAGCACTTCTGAAAAACGAGATTGGGAGATCCAATGTTGCAAGGAGTTTTGCGTGGGTCCTCCTTGTGGCTGGCTCCAAATCCATTCGGAGTTCCCCCAACAGCTCCAAAATGGCAATGCTGGATAAACGATATGTTTTGATGATGGTTTCCTCGTTCATTCTTAAAATATTCACACGGAGTGAAAAAATGCGTTCTCTGCGTCTCCTTGCTTCATTTCGATGTCTCCTTCTTGCGACAATAACCGCTGCCATGTGTGCGCAATTACGCATACAGACCATTTGCACCTTCTTTTGAAACGTGTTAAATATAGAGTCAGATACTGTTATCAGGTTTGATAAATCACTTTGCGAGTGCTAAATTAATATATTTACATGTTCTCCTCCCACAAGACGCACTTTTGCGTGTAAACGCCCCATATTGCATATTCATTGCAGAAAAAGTACTAAAAGGATAAGAGGCGCTATTTAGCACGTTTTAAAGACCAAATCCTTTTAGCACGCTGTTGATAGATCAGTTTGTACATTTTTTAGCGTGCTCAGTGAAATAGCTCACGTTTTTATACATGCAAACCTTTGATAGATCCGGCCCAGTGTGTTTTAACATCCTGATCTCCTGGTCACCTGCCGTTGGATTGAACTACAGCTTTTGTTTTTTGTTTCCAGTGGCTGTGTGAATGATGAAGAGCGATAATGTAAATAATCCAATTGTGGATAAACAATGTTATATGATGATGTTGAAAATAAGAGATGAAAAATGTTGGTTTTAAACCGTATTTTTGCTTTTACACAAAGTAGTTAAAATGTTTATATAAACTGGTGAAAAGCTCTCTCATTCATACATAGCTATTTTGAATGAGGTATGAGAATGTAGAGCCAAGAAGACCTTAGGCTGGACTAAATTCTACTCAGGCTGTTCACTCTACCTCCTCCTACCTCAACCAGCAACTGAATTAATTAGCATGTTCTGCACAGCTGCTCCCTTTAGATGGCGCCACAGATCATGTGACTCTTCCACCCACCTCTATCATCTACTATCTGAGAGAACATCTGCATATTTTCCTTCAGTGCATTAATTTATAGAACCTATTCTGTACTGTTCTATTATGTATCCTACAGGAAAGCTTAATTTTAAAATTTCTGATGTCTGATGTTACTCAGTTTATAAAATAGTTTTATCTAAAAAAAATCTATCTTGCTCACTGTGTGGCTAAAAAACTGGTGCAGAGACTTTGGTCCCAATGACCTGGTAAGACCGGATAAAGCAGAACACAAGTTCTAGTATATTCTATAGTTTAAAGCAGCTGATTAGGTATTTGGTATTCTATGAACAATGTGGTTAAGGTGTCCTCATCAGGAGGCAGCCCCCTCCTCATTACTCAGGAAGAAGGCGGGTTTAATTTCACTTCCTCAACAGAAGAAACAGTCAGATGAGAGAGAGAAACGATGAGGGGAACATCTCTACTTTGTAAGTAGGAACATTTTTAACTTTTTTCTAGTGTGATCTTAGAATAGAATTCAACTTTATTGTCATTCCACTGTCACAAGTACAGAGCAACGAAAGGAATTCTCTGCATTTAACCCATCTCCTTGGGGAGCAGCGGGCTGCCATTGTGCAGTGCCCAGGGAGCAGGGTGGGGTTAAGGGTCTTGCTCAGTGACCCAGAGTTGCAGTCTCTGGGATCGAACTCACAACCTCAGGATTCAAAACTCTATACCTTAACCACTAGGTCACCACTCCCCATGCCTCAGTTCCTATGTACTCCAGTAAACTAAGCCTATAGTAGCGTAAATATAGAAAATATCTCAGGATAACCTAGCTATTATGAATGAGGTATGAGAATGCATAGCAAAGAAGACCTTAGTCTGGACTAAATTATACTCAGGCTGGTCACTCGACCTCCTCCTACCTCTCTACTCTTATAGTTAGTATGGCTGAGAAGATAAATTAATAACAACATGATTTAGCTGAAACGGATGTAAAGATTTTTCACAGGGTAGAGAAAAAGTATATTCTATTTACATTGTTTTGAATCAAGAAATCAGATTTTCAAAAAAAATTGAGTTTGACATATTCCTACAGTTTATGGAGTCTCAGTGAGCATTTAATCAGAAGGTTGAAGATTGAATTTCATAAAATAACTGTCTCATCAGGGCTGGCCTTCCTTCACTTTAATGCAACAGAACAAGGTTGGTAGTTTTGTATTTTATCATCTAAAATAAAATGCACTTTAGCAGTTTTGATTCTTTTGAAAATAATGTAACTGGTTGTTTTTTCACTCCTTCCAGCTGGTCTGACTGTGAGTCCCAGCAGATCTCAGTTCTTTAAAGGTGACTCTGTGTCTCTGAGCTGTGAGGAGAACAACAGCTCTGCTGGATGGACTGTATGGAGGAACACAACCAGAGGACAGTCTGAGTGTAAGGATGGATGGGGGAAACCAGATGGTTCTACCTG